CACCCGCTGAAACCGTAAATGCCAAGACATTACTTCCGTTTAAAATTAAGCCGGAAAAATCCTCAGGTATGTGGAGGATGGGGGAGGCCTTTGATCAACCGCCGACTTCCTGCCCCGTCGACGGGGCCATCAGCCCTCAGTGTGCCCTCAGCCAAATTCATGTGAAACATGTATGTGTGTGTATTAAACATTTTAATTTATTATTTCCAAGATTTAGCTGTTAGCTCTTGGACCCTGCCTTTCTAAGCGTCGGTTGTCTAATGTACCGACTCTCGGCCTCTTTTTCTCCATCATATCTAAACAACATATATTTTTATCTAACACACACACACACACATCCCCAAGATGCAGCCTTTAGCAGCTTTCTGACTTTCAGGTTCCTATTTACTGCAAGGTGAATAGAGGCATTAGTGTGTGTATGTTTGTATGTATGTGTGTGTGTGTGTGTGTGTGTGTGTGTGTGTGTGTGTGTGTGTGTGTGTGTGTGTGTGTGTGTGTGTGTGTGTGTGTGTGTGTGTGTGTGTACGTGTGTACGTGTGTATGCACGTGTGTGTGTTTGTGTGTATACTCACCTAGTTGTGGTTGCGGGGGTTGAGCTCTGGTTCTTTGGTCCCACCTCTCAACTGGCAATCAACTGATGTACAGATTCCTGAGCCTACTGGGCTCTATCATATCTGCATTTGAAACTGTGTATGGAGTCAGCCTCCATCACTGCCTAATGCATTCCATCTATTAACTACTCTGACACTGAAAAAGTTCTTTCTAACATCCCAGTGGCTCATTTGGGTACTAAGTTTCCACCTGTGTCCCCTTGTTCGCCTACCACTCGTGTTAAACAGTTTATCTTTATGTACCCTATCAATTGCTCTGAGAATTTTGTAGGTAGTGATCATGTCTCCCCTTACTCTTCTGTCTTCCAGTGTCATGAGGTGCATTTCTCGCAGCCTGTCCTCGTAACTCATGCCTCTTAGTCCTGGGACTAGCCTATTGGCATACCACCAAACTTTTTCAAGCTTCGTCTTGTGCTTGACAAGGTGTGTGTGTGTGTGTGTGTGTACATGTGCAACACACACGTACTTATGTGGTACGTATGTGCTACATAATTGTAAGGTGTTTGCTGAATTAGAAAAGTCGGCTAGCAGTCCACCCTTAACGACACAATTAACTCATTACATAAAAAAATACGTGGCTGTGCAACAGTGTGTGGGAATTGGGGAACTGGTGTGCATTTAGACGACTGGTGAGGCCCAACAATGACGTAGAACGATGGCATCAGCGTCTGAATCAAAGGGCAGTGAGGGACAACTTGGCTTTATATTTTTTAATCCCCTTACTATACCGTGAGGCGTCCCTGGTAACCTTGCAATACCAACTGGTTTCTGATCAAAAGCTAAAGTCCAGTCGCCACAAGGGCAATAAAGAGAAACAGGAACATTTGTGGAAGCTTTGGGACCGTTACGAGGAAAAACAGATAAGCACCTCACAGTTCCTCAAGGAATGTTCGCGTTTTATCCCAGGAAGTGCCTGAACTAGAATTAAAAAACAGCAGTCTGTTTACTGGTTGTTATTTAACTTAAGTTAGTTGTAAATGATAATGTAAAAATAGCCACTGAGAACTGATGAGTTGCCCAAGACTTTTGCTCATAAAGAGGGAATTGATTACAAACTTGGACTGCCTTTGAGCAGCCTGAGGGCAGCAATATCCCAGGAACATCAACTAAATTTCGGAGACTTGAGGCAAAGTGAAATTCACACCAGTTACTCCATCTATCATCATTCTATTATGCAGGAAGAACCGCACGTCTATGGGTCATCCAATAATGTTAGCAGACTTCTAGATGTTACCACTGCTAGGCTTAGGCTCGGCTACAAGTACCTCTGGGAGTTTGTAACATCTGCTGATGTAGATTTGACTAAATGTAAACTCTGTCAGCAGAACTATTCGTGTACTTTGCGTCATTATATAATGGAATGTGAAAAAATCGCGGAATTTAGAGATAACACCATCAATAGTGTTCAAGAAATGTGTAAGTACTTCATTCATAATGATGTGCTGCTTGAAATCTTAGTGAAGTATCCAAAATTTGCTTACTGTAGGTAATGCATGCACATGACTGTAAAGCTGCCGCCCAGTTGGGTGGGTGTGGAGCACATGACTGTAAAGCTGCCGCCCAGTTGGGTGGGTGTGCAGCAAGACTAGTAACTGTGTGACTCACCATAGATGTAAAGTTCCTTGTATAGTGACTGTTGTGAGCCTCTTGTTGATCACTTGTGACACAAAGATTATTGATGTGTGTATTTGTGTAGGTGATTAGATATGTATATGTATGTATATATGTATACGTATATATATATGTACATGTATGTATGAGAGTGTGTACATGTATATATAATATTAATAATTTTGTAACTAGCGTCACAAATTGTTATTTGCATAGCTAAATGAACTAGAGGGTTCAGTTCCTGAACCGATTATGTGCCTCTGTAATCCTTTACACCACCGCCCACGGGATGGGTATGGGGTGCATAATAAAGAAAGAAATTGAATTGAATTGGTCTGATTAAGACTTTATGACCATGTAATCTATGTTTTGCTCCACTACTTACTGGTTGAGTATGGGGTGCATAACAAATAATAGCCTCCTTCGGGGGCGCCTTGTTTCTAAACGTGTTAGTCTTAAATCCTTTAATCTCAAATCTTGCTACAATGTACCTCTTAATATATGTTATGTACTCTCGCAACCCATTGTACCTTCTTGTATATAAATAAATAGATTTCAACTGTAAGGGGGTATGGTTTGCACCTTGTTATTCTAATAATGGAAGCGCTAATTATATGAACAAGTGCCATGTATTTATTCAGACGAGAACAACAGCGAACACAAACCAGCGCATATACGAACGGAATGGTTTGTATGTACAAACTTCTCAGTGAACGAAGTTGTTTCTAGTCCGGTATCCAAAATTGCAGTATACGACTTGACCAGTCCCCCCTACCTCCCCCTGCCCCTTGTTGCGTCCCCCTCCCCCGCCCATTTTCTGAAGACCTGGGTTTTTTCATCTTGAAAAAATTAGTTATTCATTAGCTCCTGGGCTTGACCCCTCTGAAAACAGTACATGTGCCTGTATCTAGCCCCTAGTGGTACTCCCACTTGTAAACAAGACCACTGATCTAAACAATGGCAAAATGCATTTATCCACATTGGTCCAGATTCCCCACTTTCCTCTCACACTCCAGCCCAGACACCCAAACAAGTGTCTTAAGATTGTGGGACTATGTTTCCCGTTGTCTCAGCAGGCTGGAGAGGGAAGTACAAGCAACCCTCGACGAAGCAAAAACACCAATCAAATGCCCACTCGCCACTTCAAGGAGATACCTTAGAGAGGGGCAAGTACGTGGATGTAACACGTTATATCCAACTCGTGCAATTCTACAAGCTACCTAATCCTGTCATGGATAGTGATATGCATATAAAGTAACCATGTTTGAATGTACTTTATTTACGGTGTACAATAACCAGTCTTCATAAGAGACCTGCATAACTTGACACATAATGGCAAATTACCATTGTTCAAATTTAAGGTTTTTCCACAATTTCCCTAAATGGCATTTGAATATTTTATACCAATCTCAAAAATGCTTTAGATAGCATGGCAACATAGGAGTAAATTCCAAAGTAGTGATTGATATATGATCAGATTAGAGATGACAAATTAATTTTGGACTGAATGCCAAAATAAATACAATACAAAGATTTGTCTACAAATTTTAAACTGTAGTAATATAGATAAAAATGCATCACATTAGTTCTATAATTCATTTACATTTATTTTAATTTACCATAAAGTTATGGAGAACCAATTCTGGAATTACACATGTTTACAATTTGGGAAGAACTTGCAAGCACCCATAGTTACCACACACTTTTGGAATACCTCAAGTTACCCTTAATTGCACCTAAGACTGAAGATAAATTATAGAACAAAAATTACAGAAAATGTTAATATACAGATGCATTTAATTATTATTTCTATGCAGAGTGAAGTAATAACCTACACCAAAACCAAGGTACATGTGTTTGGTCTCCTGTACCTCACCCCGTTGCTTTAACGTTACTTGAGCACATTTCCCCTGCTGGGTTGGGATTGTCTGTCAAAGACTAGGCTGCGGAAACACTGATCCCCAGAACCAGCATAAGGTAAGGTAGCTGTGATAATACCATGGTTCATCAATACACTTCATTTGCAAGCTCAGTTTTGGAAAAAGATCAGGGGCCAGATTCAAGAAGCAGTTATGCAAGCACTTGCAAACCTGTACATCTTTTCTCAATCTTTGGCGGCTTAGTTTACAAAGATTAAACAGTTAATGAGCTCCGAAGCACCAGGAGGCTGTTTATAACAACAACAGTTGATTGGGAAGTTTTCATGCTTGTAAACTGTTTAATAAATGTAACCAAAGCCGTTAAAGATTGAGGAAAGATGTAAACGTTCGTAAGTACTTGCGTAACTGCTTCGTGAAACTGGCCCCTAGTCTTGCTAAACATTACTTCACAGAACTGATTCTACAGCAAAGGTCAATGTTCAGCATAAATGGACATCGTTAGCATAATTTCACTGACCTAACCAAAATAAAAAGCTCAGTATTGGTGTATATTATGAAAATATTCCTTGTTCATATGCACTTTTTTACCATTATGGGAATAAAACTTATGGCAGGATTATCACACACTGTATTCTGAGGCGATCATTACCTAGGGGTCACTATTTCCTAAGAGTTGCATATGGTAGTCATAATTCACAAGCCTGAATACACACCTGGGTGTCAAGTAAGCCGTGACGTACATTTCTTTGTTCAAATACATTAGCTTTCAGTATATCAAGTTAATCCTGGATTACTTTGCTTCTAGCAAGAAGTAAACTGTGTTAAAGAAAAGCTACAAAAGCTGAACCTAAAAGCAACTTTACTAATAGTATTTCTTTTTCAGAAATACAATATTTGTAAAAAAAAAAAAAAAAATATATACTGTATATTAAACTGCATTTTGATGCTAATATGTGAAAAGTTCTAGAGAATTTTGTAAATAATTAGCTGCCATGTTGGCAAAATTACTTTACACCATAAACATAATACTTTGGAATATTGATAACTGTTGATAATGATAAATTACAATCTTAACTCATCTGAGATTGGCACCATAAACAATGTGAACAATATATAGCTTACATATAACACAAATTTATACAAATTAAGCTTAATTGTCAAAAACTTGAACTGACATTAGAACCATTTAGCATTCAATAATGCAGGAAAAAAAATAAATACATAAAATAAACATTTATGCATATTTCTTAAACTTCCAGATTGGAATTATTATTTAAAGGTAAGTCACCCAAAGAAGCACAAGACAAGTTTTACTTGAAACACATTGCCCTCTTTAACTTGTATAAATAAAATGAGAGTTTAAAAGGTATATGATGAGCTGTACTGTAACCCAAAGATGTATATACAAGCAAATTGTCTATGGCTGTTCTCTCGTCCAACGAGACGACTATTCAGTAACATTATTGCACTACAGCCATCATTTAATTGCATGATTCCCTTCATTTTTATTTTGTTTTATATGGTAACCTCATTCATCATCCATACAAAATATCTAGTAAATCTAAAGTCTCCAGTTATGCACAGCAGAACCTATAATACACGTAATTGCAACAGAAGTGCACAGTATATAAAAAAGGATGTACTGTGGATTAATGTTAACATACAATAATATACTGTATAATATAAACAAAAAGGAAAGCAGCGAAAACTCATAAAAACAGAATATATCATGGTCTGCATTATGACAACACACAAATAATTCACCACATATAAAACACGACACACACACACACACACACACTTAAACTACTGTGTGTGTGTTTACATCCAATATGCCACTTCTATAACACAACACTGTTTCAGAGCCCTAAACTTCCTCCAGACACTGGCTATAGCATCTCTCTCATATTGCTCTAATTGTGCTGTCATTACATACATGCTTCATCATTGTCTCCCTAACAGATCAAGTGTAAAAATCAAAATACATGTCATCAGTATAGTTAAGCATAGCTTTTAATGTATGATCTGAATACCAATACATCTGAACCTTAAAACAGATGAATAAACTAGCTGAAGTCACTTTTTGTGAATATAAAAAAAAAATTGCATTGTTAAATGTGCAAAAATCTATTGCTTCAGATAAAGATACTGAACAATAATGTATAAATGCAAATGGGGGAAGTTGAAATCTGGTAGAAATTCAGAATAACAGGAGCTAGAACTGAGATTTTAGTTTTTAATCAAATAAACTAATAATTTAGCTCACAATCTTCAATAAACTTATCCTTCTACATATAATAAATCTTAAAAACATGGAAATTATCCTTCGATGAGGATTAATAAGTTTGGGAAGCATTGGATGCTTAGGAAAGGGGATTATTTGATGTAATCTTAGAAGAGGGGTTTATTTGACAATCTTAAAAAGAGGGATTTGAAGAGGGGTTTGACTAAATCTTAAAACATAGAAATTAATTTCATGTAGAATTAATTCTACCGCATTTCAATTAATCCCACAACGCAACTATCTGATATTCAATACACATGTGAAGTTAAGGGGGAATTTGAATATTCCTGCTTGTTGAGCAGGCAAAGTGTAAATCTTCCTCTTTATGACAACTCGGAACTTCAAATACCTGTACCATTTTAATATGGATTATTTGATCATTTTACACGGTAAATCATGTAAATAGAATGTGACCTGTTACAGGACAGACATAAACAATAAGTCAGCACTGTTACCATATTTCTTGTAATGTATAATCACAGCACATAGCACTATTTCATTGTAATATTTGTAAAGAATGTGGGGATAAGAATTAGAAATGACAAGATATGTACAGTTTATAGGCAATTCTTAAAAAAATATAAATTAAAAAATATTATGGTTACATTTTAGTCACTGAAGTAGCAGCCGCAAACTAAAGAATCCAATAAATAAAATGTACGTCACATTTCATTTAGTTATGAAGAAAGCTGTTATAAGTTTTATAAATATGTAGCCAAGCAAAAGACAAGAGGAAGTCAATGCAAGATCTAATTAAAAAGGACAATAACGAGGTCACTAATTCAGTGTAATGTGTGTGTCACTGTTACAATTAACGATGCACAACGTGGCCCTAGGTTCTATCGTATCTAAAACACATTAAAAAATCTATCACCTAATAAATTACCACATACTGCACTGAAGTTACACTGTACAAACCAGTACAGTACATCCAAATAAACCATTCAAAACTTTCCATTATAAAATAAGTATGTTTTCTCTGGCTAGAGACTATAAAGCTTATAATGATATTTCTTAACAAAAATGGTTTCTACAGCAGAACCCTCATTCTTTGCATACAATGGTTATACTCTTTTTATCATATTTGTTTAATGACCACAAATATTCAATGGCACACACCCAAATTACATTTATCTCATAAGTCAACTTGTATAATATAGCTGGTTTGAATGTTTGGAAATAATACAAATAATAGAATAATAAATAATACATTTTAACATCCATCTGCTAAAATCATCGAGCAAAGAGAGACAAATCCCAGCAGATTATATATATATATATAGATATGTATAATCCACTTAGTCATATGAAATTTGTTTCAACTTCTTTACAAATAACTGAAGCCTAATTTAATGATAATTTTGTTTAGCTTATGCAACTATTTGAATATTATCATGAAAATAAACTCTGATTTATATATTGATATACAGCATTATTCCTTTAATAAAATGGACAGGATTCATAAAATTTATGCTGGCGAAACTAACATGTAAATTTTCAAGCCAACTGCTGTCATTTGTTTCACCATCATCGTCAAAATGTATCAATATACAGTAGTTTGTAGAGTCCCTGTTCATTAAATTACATCCCATATTCATAATATTTCATGATTCCAATCAGTGTTTATTTTCTAGACGTTAATATTAAAGAATTACTGTATTTACAATTTATAGATAGATTATTGTCTTTGCTTTCATTTGACAGCTTTGATCATAAAAGACTTTCCAAACCTGTGCAAATAATTAGGGTTCGACAGCATTTAAATAAATGCCTAAAATACTTGTGTTAGTTTTATATAAACCATAATCTATTGTTTCCATATTATATCTGTATACAGTATCTTTATACATTATTAAGTTCAAAGTACAAAGAAAAGAATTAATACTACAGCTAAGACTCCTGAAAGTGCACCAATTGCAGCCCATTGACGTCGATCTGAAAGTAGAATTTTTTTTATGAAGGATAGATAACTAAAGAATTAAGTCCCCTACATTCATGCAGTGCTACTTTCAATAAATTCGGTTATCTGCCCCATTTGTTTTCTACAATCTTGAATATTGGCTCCCCCAGGCCCTAATGTACATGTCAACTACTACTATCAAGCTACTTTAGCTAAATTAACTATTGACTACATTACCATTTTATTTATTGTGGCAGGCAAAACCACAATTTACGTCAATTATCACTGATCAAACTGTGTCAGTCAGCAATGGGTAAGAAATGTACAAAAATGCTGTACTTGTGTGAAGTGTTGATTGTCACTCAGTGAAATGAGCTGAAAGAAAAACTGGAGGATGTCAACTCCATTCACAGTTTAAAAGAGGAAATATAATGGATATATTGTATACTGGTGATCAAGGAAAGTGATAGTTTTCTGATAGTAGATAGATAGATAGGAAAGTTTTCAAGCACTGTATAGTGCTTGAAAACTTAAAAGCTTCAATAGATTAAAATGCTCCAGGACTCCAGCAGCCAGTAAATGAAGCATAAAGAGCTAGATCATACACAACCCATATGATGTAATTCCTTACCAATTAAATTATCCCATCTCTAACAGTGTCAGAAAACTTAAAAGTATCTCTGTAAGCCCTTAACTGCACACTGGTCTGCTCTGAATGACCCGAGCAGGAAGATAAGTCATGCTAAAAAGCATGTAAAGATCTGTAATAATTGAACAAACATTGAAGGCATAAAAATCCTCAAGATGCAGGTTCAGGCCAGCATCTTGAGGATGAAGGTTTGCTCCCATTGTACGACGTCCATATTTTCTCCGACACATCATGGTCATATGATTTAATTGTGCATCTGTAGTGATTGTTAAGTGAATCATTAATTTCTTCCAAGTATACTTATCTTCCTGCTCAGTTGCAAAGCTAAGTTACTTCTATATTTACTTCAACATTACATCTATCACATACACCCTTTTCAATCATCCTTATTTATATTTTTTCAATTAATAAAAATACAGAAATACAATAAAAATATTTATATACAGTACATATAAATACCAACCATTTGACAAGTGCATGACTTTGGCCATTTTACTAAGTGTATTCTCCATTTTGCTCTGCGTGGTCTCCATCTCATGGCCAAAATCATCGAGCATTCTGCAACAATGAGGAAACATGTAAAAATTATCCTGTGTACACAAGTTTATTTTCCTTTGTTTCTTTCTCTGTTTTTTTCTGGGCATCAGAATTTAGGTGCTCATACCAGAGAATTTGTGTTGACCAGACCACACACTAGAAGGTGAAGGGGCAACGACGTTTCGGTCCGTCCTGGACCATTCTTAAGTCGACTTGAGAATGGTCCAGGACGGACTGAAACGTCGTCGTCCCTTCACCTTCTAGTGTGTGGTCTGGTCAACATTCTTCAGCCACATTATTGTGACTCATTGCCTGCAGAGAATTTATTTTAAGCAGCCCAGGGCTAGGGGTTCATCCAGCATTTATGTGTCCACTTAGAAAATCTGTTCACCTTTCCTCAAACATGGTGGCTTAGTCTACATTCATTAAACAATTTACAAGCTTTGAAACATTGTAAGGTTATTCTTGACCCAGCGTTATTACTGTATTATTATTATGGACAATCTTGTAACTCATCATTTTTTTTTTAATAAGAGCAAACAAAGCCCTCATGAACGATGAAAGATGTACTGGTTACCCAAGTGCTCACATAAATGTTTAATTAAGCCTGGCCCTGGATACATATCCTGCCATTTCATGTGTGTGAACAAATTGCAAAATTCAAAGATAACACCATTGATGGAGTCCAAGAAATGTGCCAGTACTTCATTCAATATGATGTACTGCCGGGAATCTTGGCAAAGTATCCAAAATTGGCTTACTATGAGTAATGCATGCACATGACTGTCCCACCTCTACTTCAATAGTCACATTTGGTAAAGATATTGCACCAATGCATTCAGCACTCTTTCTTTTTATTGTACGCTGCATATGCTAGCTGTCAAATGAAAGGACATGGCAGTGATGTGGTGGAGGCAGACTCCATACACAGTTTCAAATGAAGATATGATAGAGGCCAGGAGGCTCATGAATCTGTATATCAGTTGATTGACAGTTGAGAGGCGGAGAGCCAAAGAGCCAATGCTCAACCCCTGCAAGCCCTTCAACGTGAGTGCATTACATACTCTATACATCATATTGTCACCAAAATGAGCTTAACTAAAGCTAGATTTCAACCACAACACAATGGGGTGTTTGTCGTCTTGCCCATGCTGTCTGTACCATTTTGTAAGCATCCAAATATTCTTAGTAAGCAACCACCCCCCCCCCCCAAAAAAATGCATTAGAGCCTTCTATTTGCTCTGAAAAAGTTATAAATAGGGAAGTGGTGGAATGAAACAGCAGTAAAGAAGTGATCACTTACACGGCCTGCTCGTCCACTTCTTGGCCAATCTGACGGGACATATTCTTGAGCGTTCCCATTGATGATGCAATTTGGTCAAGATGTCCATCTTGCTGGTTCATAATCATCTGCAATAAACAAGCATTTTTTTTAAACTGATCAGCTGTAAAGAACATACTAAAGAATATACTGTACAATAAAAGAAAAAGGTTTTTCTGTTTTCTCCACTATTTCTCCATGGGTGTTTTCCCATGGAGGGAGTTTAACTTGGTTTGCAATGGTGGTTCAGAAGAGATGTATGGCATCTTTGAGCCATTCCAGCATAATATCACGTATATATATTCTTCTAACTTAATTATAAGAAACAAATGGGAACAGATGAGTGAAAATAGCCTTCATGTGACCTGTGGTGGAGGAAGGGGAGGGCTTTTAATAATCTTTCACAAACATTATCGAGAAAGCTAGAAATTTCTAACTCCAAGCCACTAAAAATGTTAATTAGTTCTGCAATTGGATCTATTCTATGTTTGTTTGTTTTTGTTTGCCATTATTTTAAATGCTTGAATAATATTACATAAACATTTATAAATTATTCACAGATGTGTACTAGATAACTGGAACAAATTGTATTCAAGAAATATACATAACAGTATTAAGGCCTGATTTCAATGGAATTTTCATATTGACTTGTGAACTACAGTACGTATCTAGTTTATTTTACTATCAATAATACCAGAGAATATCAGGTTAAAAAAAAAAAAACATGCTGTTAATATTACAGAACTGTACCATACTTGAAAACATGAAAATCACAGAACTCACCTGCTGCTGGGCGAGAGTTCTTTCAACAAATTCACTATTTGGACTGTCAGCCTCATTGACGAGCCGGCTGTAACGCGTGGCTCCGTGGGTAACTACCTGAGGCATCTTGAGGGGGCTGTTGTCATCCACTGGCTGCAACACAGTCAAAGTTGGTTTCTCAGTCAATTTTGCTTATTGAAAATAAGAACTATGGTAAACAAAGTAATTAATAGAAACAAAATTGTGCAATTCAAAGAAACTGGAAATGTTGCTGATGTTTGACGTGTCCAAAATTAAAATAAGCTAACTGATGTAATTATTGTAAGTTTCATATTTGGAATATGACAATATTACAATAATTATAAAAAGATGTAATAACAAAAAATTAACATAATTCATAACTGCATTACTGAAATGTGCAGCATTCACATGGATCTCACTCACGTGTGTGTTTGTGTGTGTGAGATCCATGCAAGTTCTACACAAAATGAATATAATGAAAAGGGCAACAGAATCATAAGGAAAAATATTTAAAAATATACAGCACTGTACTGTACTGTATTATGATGCAACATGGGTGGGGATACAAATGCAACAAAAACAGTGAATGGAGCTCAAAATTAGAATACAAAGCAGAAATCATGCATAATATTTACCCCAACTGGTTCTGGTACCTGTCTAGCTGTCACGTCTCGGTCCTTCTTCGTCAAGTTGAGACGTTCTTTCATAGACTGAAAGAGAGAGTGGGGGAAAAATAAAGTTTTAGGAAATGTTACTAATTGCTGTTTTACACACTGCCTCAGTTGTGAAGTTTATTTAAACAGGGCTGGCCTTAGTTGTGCTGTTTATTACAATTGGGCAAATCTCAGTTCCGATACACAATGAAATGACAATGTGAAAAAAAAAAAATCTTGGTGTGACCCCAAGCTGCGAGGTTCGATCCCACCATCCTGCTCCAGAGATGTTCTCAGTAGTGATGTTTATCAACTGGCTCGGCAAATGCCATCAAAGTTGAAAATAATAAATTGGAAGGAAACAGCCCGAAATAATACATAATAAACTGGCTCAGCAAATGCCATCAAAGTTGAAAATAATAAATTGAAAGAAAACAGCCCGAAATACATTTATCATTACCCTACTTTGATAAATGAACAAAATCAAACACAAGATGGTGCAGTTAGAAAATTTCACATATCCACATATAATAATGTGATCGAGTTGAACTTTATTTAATCCCAGGTGTTGCAGATGTGTGACAGTGAAGGATGTGTTGTGGAAGATATGGTGATTTAATATAGGCGTCTTTTTCAATACCATCAATATTTTTCTATACTGTATTATGTATATGTATTATGTATACTGTATTTTTCTATACTATTTGTGCCAGGCCTCCCAACCAACATCCCAAAAATGGAAATAAAGTAAAAAAATGATGATAATTATTTAAGAAAAGTACATGGTTACCTTTAGCCAAACAATGCATCAACTAGTACAAAATAATCTACTGTATACACAATACTGCATATATTTTTATGTCCTTGCTCATGTTAACTCCCCGTTTAACAATTCCCATTAAAGGGGATGGAAAGAGAAGGTATCTATCAGGAGACCGTGTCAAGCCATTATAACTATATAGCTCTTGGAAGGGGTCAGGATAGGGCTTTGGGATGGGAAGCCTATACTAAAGCTTATCAAGGTACCCTAATAGCCAACTACTGACCTTCCCCACGATGCAACCCACGACAGATGCCCAACTCCTCAATACCTATTTTACTGCTATGCGAACATAGCATTAAGTGAAAGGAAACTTGCCCAACCGTTTCTGTTTTGCCTGGGGATGCACAAATGTGGAATCTTCCTTAGATATTAATGACACCTAGAAAGTACAGTATTGAAATGCAAACAATCTGGAATAGGCTTCAGAAACATTTGACAAGAGGAGTGAACACGCTGATTTAGCTATCATAAAAGGTGAAGCAGTGACAGTAAAGATTGAATAACATGAGGACTGCCCTTACCAAATGTATACAAATGAGAAAATAGAAAGGAAATAGGAGTTTTGATTGCAGACGGACCTTCGAGAATGGTATACCCGGACCGACATATCTTAGATCGTTCTGAGAGCTGTACCGGTCTATAACTAATTCTCAGAATTTCTTGGGTAATTCCGAGAATTACCCAAAGCCTCCTTTATATTACGTAGGAGGAAATATAAATTATTTCCTTACCACAATGTTGGTGCTGAATGTAGAACGTGAAAAAACATTGTTTTATTAAGAAATACAATGAAATATAAAGAAATATCAATGAGATATATCAATGGGTTGCTGTAGTTCTGGTATTTGGTTAGTGATGATTGTGGTATTAATTACTGAGTGGATGTAGGATTGGTGGGGTTATTATAGTGATGGTTGTCGTTTTAGTAGTGAAGGTTGTGGTAGTTTATGTGTGTGTTTCGAGATGATTATAATCAGTAGCAATTGTGGTAATGAAGGTGTCTGAATGCGTTGTTGTGTTCAAGGTGGCAGTTTTAGTGTTAATAGCAACGGTTGTATTGAGCAAGAATGCAGTGGCAGCTGCGATTTTAGCCGAGGGTGTTGCATGTACAGTGGTTGCGGGGACTGTAGGTGGTAGTGGTGTTTTGAGAACCATGCGGTAGTACTGCTGAAGATAAAATGGGGCCACAGGAAACAAAGAAAATGGGTAACCTGAAGACAATGAGGCAGATGACCCATCAAACTTATAACAGTACGTGTTATAGGTTTTATTTAACAGAGGTCACGACGTCTCAGTAGGGTGCAGTCGCACCTCCACAGATCTCCAGGATCAGCTAATGATACTGGTAATGGCTCCAAAGGGCCACTTACGGGCTATTCATGCCCGTGCCACCTTTTTGTGGCTTAATCTTTATCAATCAATCGTTTATCTAAGGCAGTGGTTCTCAAATGGTGGTTTCTGGTGAGGGTCTAAACTCACAGCCGGTATAGCAGCTGCTTACGACCTCGCCTATCGATGTATATACACCGAGTTTAATTTATTCCTAGACTATGTTCAGGACTATATGTATACTTGCTGGTTGGTCAATAAACCAACTGTATTATCCTTAATACTGGTAATATAGGTTTATATAGCGTCCCCTCCCCCCAAAGTCGAACTATACTGATATTCCCAGAACTCAAAACCCCCAACAGCTGACTAACTCCCGGGTACCTATCTACTGCTAGGTGAACAGAGGCATGAGGTGAAAGGAAACGTGCCTAGCCATTTCTGTGCCGCCCGGGATTCCCAATCGAGAACGAAGCCAACTGTTCTACGGAGACCTTTCCAGAGGCTGATAAGCCTTAAACCCAACACCAAACTAAACCAGGCGCTGCCGTGACTCCAGTTTTGGTAATGTTTAAAAAAGCTGGTTCACGAATATATTTTGATTGACCTGCGTGGACTGAAACGAGTTGAGAACCACTAATGAAAAGGAACAAATGAAGAAATGCACAGCCATTATAATTCCTTCAAAATGAATATCTGCATACACAAAGAGGTGAGTAAAACTAGCATACGAATCCACTTCTCACAGCGAGCATAAAATATGCATCTGTAACTATTGATATAACCACTATCGTGTTCAGTGTATTTCTTAATAAAATTATTATTGATTAACATAAGAAGGTGACCTACCTTGACTTCCTCCTTGGTGTGCTCGATGAAGGTCCTCCTCGATGCTAACTCGCCGCCATCAATCTTGAACTTTCTGGGATTCTTCTCCACGATACGTGGACATTCAGAGTTAAGGAAGACTAACATAAAGGCGTAGAGGAGCGCAGCTGCCGCCACATACAGTGAGAGCTCCAGCTCCACCTGCAGCAACAGCTGGTACACCAGCTGGGGCATGGGAGGGGGGTCAGGTGGCTCCGACGACCCCCACTCCCACGGGGGGTCGTCCATCCTGGGCAAGGGATTCCTGCCCCCACGGTCGACCACAGGCGCAAGCGGCCCAGGGGAAGGGGTCACAGGGAGGAATTCCACGTAGATAATAAATGGATTGGACATGGAGAGGAGGCCAGAATGTCGTGCTTACATGAGTGAATGTGAATAATAAGCACTTCTCTGCCACATCCGACTGTTTACTAAAACCCAAAGGTTCCAGTTTACTGATGCGTCACCAAAGGTTTCAATCAATAAGATAAAAAGGGACAGAAAGAGATGGAATAAAAGATACAGGTAGCGTGTTAGATTATTAGCATGATGCTTCGGCGATAGTCGTAAGACACTCGACTAACTACATGATACCAGTCTTAACCCATACAGTAACCGTAATGATTGTAAGGGAGGGAATTAAATATTCAAGGGCACATCAAGTCATGATGATGATAGGGAAAGATGGCGAGGGTAGGAGGGCCCGCAGTATACTGAAGCTAGGAGGTCCAGCAGTAGAATGAGGCAAAGAGGACCAGGATAGACTGAGGCTAGAAGGAACGTACGAAGACAGAAGCCTCACACTGTTCTGATGTCTGTCCATCCCACCTGACCCATCATACTTGGGCTACTGTCCACTCACAATGCCACCAATATATACACTCCACACAGCACTATGCACTCTCTCGCACCTCTGGTTTACGAGCACCTCACACCCAGTATCACACACTTGATTTTGGAAATGCTTTTTCTTTTATCTTGTGTTTCACACCATTTTAATCATGCTGTTGTATCAGTAACGTCGACACCACTCTTTAGCACCTGCATTTTCATTGTTCAATATAATGCCTTTCCTGTACAATTGAACACGGTCCTGGTGGACTGGGCAGCTTAGAACTCCTAGGGAACATTGACATACATGTTTTCAGCAGAAAAAAAATGTTTCTAGACTGTGCTGATGCCTGACAATTGCGTCCTGTACAGTTAGTATAGGTGAGCAGGAGAAAGCTTGTTTCAATTTGGTCACAATGAAATTTCACACGTGGTTTTCTATTGGTATTAAATTATGAGCAGTCTGAATGTTGCCTTAACCAGGTACCAAGTTTATTTTAAAGTTTTTATGACCCACCACTGAAAAAAAATATCAAATAAATAAGGGACAATATTTACAATATCCACACGACGCAATTCCAGATTAGTGTCTTAACCATTCCACTCCAACCAAACAAAACTGATAAAGTTATGACAAAACAAGCCTTGCTTCCAGGACAGGCTTGGGGGGGATGGAAGCCTAATCCCCCGCTCGGACTTGGGAGAGTGGCACTCTCGAAGCCAACTACAGGTAAACACCCAAAACAAAACTACCGCTACGAAAACAAAAGTAAGTCGGTGAATGTTGTTGTAGTCTCACCATAGTGACGTTTATTTTCTTCGGTTGCCGTTTAAAAGCGTAAAGACAGACTTATACAGTATGTTGACGTTGACAGTAAGAAAATGTAACGTTACTCCCAGTCTGGTTCCAGTTATCCTTCCAGGATTATTTATCTACATTCATTATCAATAATAATTATGTCTATATTTCTCTTAGACAGGCAAATATTTCCCAGAACAAGTGAACATTTTCCAGAACAAGTGAACATTTTCCTGAATAAGTGACATTTCCCTGAAAAACTTATATTATTTCTCCGAATAAAAGATAATATTTCAATGGGCAAATTATTAGATTTCCATTAATTAGCGGAGAATGTTCCCCCTACCGCCCTCGCTACCATATTCCGCCCCTGATGTAATGCACCCACAATCTCTCTCCAAGAGCCTGTTTCCACACACACACGGGCTGGTGTTAGTATTTTAGAGGTAAGGATCCCTTTGTTGTCTTGTGAGGAAGCGAGGCGTGAGGGATGATGATGATGTGTCTACCGTGTTCACATGTGCTCTACCGTGTTCACATGGTCCACCACGAGACACACGCGTTACCGGAGGCTGACGCAGTAAGACTGCCTCAGGAATGATTCCCCGGACGCCAGGCTACCGCTCATACTACTACTATTACTACGTTCCCCGTCACCCGCAATATCCACCCTCCTTCCTCCCTACTCTACCACAGTTCGCTGCACTTTATATATATATACCATATATAACAGCTCTTCACGCAGTGTTTAATCATTTGATTAAACACTGCCAGACTGATACAGTAACCCAGGTAGAAACTTGTCAAGTTCTCTCTCTCTCTCTCTCTCTTGTACTAAATTTGAATTGAACACCGTTGAGCGTAATGCTGGTTTCTGTTGTCTATTTCAGGACTACGTTGATTCCTGATTACAGTTTTCCTTTCTTCAACTGTTGTATTTTTCATACTTATTGTTTGATTTAGTGCTAATGTGATTTCACTGTGAGGTATCCTATCCACTGTGATGTTTTCTATCCATTGTGGTGTATCCTATCCACTGTGATGTTTTCTATCCATTGTGGTGTATCCTATCCACTGTGGAATATCATATTTGAGGAAAACCTTATCCACTGTGGTGTACCCTATCCACTGTGGTATATCGTATCCACTGTGGTGTATCCTATCCACTGTGGTATATCCTATCCACTGTTATATCCTATCCACTGTGGTATATCCTATCCACTGTGGTGTACCCTATTCAAAGTGGTGTACCCTATTCAATGTGGTGTACCCTATCAACTGCGGTGTTTTTCGACAGACCCCTGGAACATTATCTAACAGTGCAGAGTTACAAACCCATTAAGATTTCAACTTAGATTCAACAGAGCAGAAGTTGTTAAACACGTGGGACAAAATCTTACTGAAGCGACCATACGAGTCAAATACTCATACTCCGCCCAAGTAAAACAGAAACAAGCAACACTAACAACAAAGCCTCTGGGCCCGCCAGAGGCTTAGGGCCCGCGCAGGAATATCCCTGAAAAAAACTGTGGTGTACCCTATCAACTGTGGTGTACCCTATCTGTGGAAAACCTTATCCCTGTGGTGTACCCTATTAATTTTACCAAACCACATTCACTGTGATGAACACTATCCACTTTGGTAATACCTATTCACAGTAATCTCTATCCAATATGGTGAATCGCTTAGTAAAATGAGCCTTAGCCAGCGCTGTAAACCTTAAGTAATGTGATGGGTCCTATTAGGCGCAGTGAATCCTATTGTGTACGGTGACAACTACTCAGTGATGACTCCTATCTAGTGTGCAAATCCTACCCAATGTAGTGAATCCTACTGAACATGGTCAATCCTACGGAGTATGGTAAATCCTACGGTGTAGTGACTCCTGCAGCGTATGGTGCACCGTACCCAGAGGCGTATAAGCCGGGTGGACCGTGACAAGGGCGAGGGCGTGAAGGACATTGACGCCTGAAGGTGGAAGCTGCCAGACGCCTCCCTGGAGTAGCAGCAGAGACAGCTTCGTGTCACGCTACTCAATATTACTGCCGGCGCTTCTGCCGCCCCCCTTCCCCCTTCCTTTTACCCCCAACACCCCACCGCCAACACTCTTCATTTAACCCCCTGACAGCTACACCTCCCCGCTCGTCACCGGGAATACCACCTGTTGAAGCCTTCCTCCTCCAGGAGGAGCCAGCCGTAACAACACCTGCGGAAGCCCTCCCTCCTCCTCCTTCCCGCTTCCTTCCTGGGGTAACCCAGGCGTGATAACGTCTTCCCGCGTCGCTAGTAGCATTTCCCGCGTCTCTAGTAGCATTTCCCGCGTTGCTAGTAGCATTTCCCGCGTCGCTGGTAGCATTTCCCGCGTCGCTAGTAGCATTTCCCGCGTCGCTAGTAGCATTTCCCGCGTCGCTGGTAGCATTTCCCGCGTCGCTGGTAGCATTTCCCGCGTCGCTAGTAGCATTTCCCGCGTCGCTAGTAGCATTTCCCGCGTCGCTAGTAGCATTTCCCGCGTCGCTAGTAGCATTTCCCGCGTCGCTGGTAGCATTTCCCGCGTCGCTGGTAGCATTTCCCGCGTCGCTGGTAGCATTTCCCGCGTCGCTGGTAGCATTTCCCGCGTTGCTAGTAGCATTTCCCGCGTCGCTAGTAGCATTTCCCGCGTCGCTAGCTAGAAGCAGGCGGGTGACCACTGCACCTCTTCAAACCACACACACAAAAACACGTGTATCACATTAGTTTCCATTTGTCCATAAGGTTGAAACTAGTGGGTAGTGCCATTCATACAGTGTCGTTCATTCTGTACGTGAATACACACCGCCAATGTGGACGTAGCCTAAATATTTACCTAGCCATATGTGGTTAAACGTAGCCGGCCCGCCCGCCCACCCACCCACCCACACACACACACCCACACACTAAATGTAGTATTGCTGGGTTTGGTGTTGGGCTTGAGGCGTTATCAACCTCTGGAGGGTTATTAAGGCCACCATAACAGCTTTCTGACCAACCAACAAGTTTTCTCTAGTCGTGTACACAGTCCAGGAGTAAAGTAAACTCCGTGTATACACATCGAGTAGGGGGGTATACAGCTGTGTATGTGTATATCCTGGTGGTGGGACTATAAACATTCACTGTTCACTAATGTGTCTCATTCACTTCATTCTCAAGATTCGTCAGTATTATATTTCTTTTAATTTGTTGTAATATTTCGCTAACCTTGTAATCTCTTGTTTTATCAGTTTCTATTTTCGTCAAATCATCGGCATTTTTCTTATTTTCTCATTTTCTGCAGAGTTAGCGTAATTAAAAATATAGGAATTACAAAGTATTACAACACTAACACATCGATACTTGTGTAAAGGAGGAAATGTATATGTTTATCTCTCAGAATGTTTGGTAATATGTTTATTGCTTGTGATGTGTGTCTATGTATGTATTAACACGATGTACTGAACGGGGTGAGAATAGCTTGAGCTACCTCATCCCTTTGTGTGTATTTTACCTCAATAAACTTATTTCAATTCAATTTCATCACATCGACTCTCGTTTTCTTTTCTTGTTGGATAATTTAGGGGTAACCTGTTCATAATATCAAATCCTAGGCTCTTGAAGCTCCTTTATGAAAACAACAGAAACAGAGGATCAGAACGAGACAGTTTTTACTAATCAAAATGTATGTGATGTACGCGTCTTATAAACAATAATTAGGTAGGTATTAACAACACAACCAGATATTACCATTAAAAATATTTGACATCTGTTTGACCATGCCTAATATAATTATCAATCATATAGGGTATATATATCAAGTCTGCTATCACTAACAGGGTATACCCGTCTTATTCCCCCGATATGTTTAAGTGAAATCTCGTACCCAGTTGCAGAGCTATTCCTTGAAGTGTCTGATTGTACGAACACGTACATATTTTGATGGTGAACGTCCTCGTCCAATCATATATGTACGGGATGTACATATGTACATGATGGCACGCCGCTGGAGTATAGTTTGACACGCTACCTGCACACACACACACTTAGGAGTAAGGGTGAGTCACCTTAAACGTTTATATATAACGTCACTCCTTCCCTGCCTCACTCCCTCCCTCTTCCATCACTTCCTTTCCTCCCTCCCAATCCCCACAACCACCCTCTCTCCACCCATCGCCACCCTGTACACACACACCACGTTCCAGCTATAACACGGTTGAGTTGTTATAACCACAGGAGCGATCACACTTCTTTATATATATTATATATATATTTATATGTATATATATATATATATATATATATATATATATATATATATATATTTATATGTATATATATATATATATATATACATATGTGACGATAATCTCTTTCAAGAGAGATTGAGCCTGCTCTTCTCTACATGAAGTTACGTATTTTATTCAAGAATAAGATGCTACCTTCAAGATACGTCTCTCAGTAGCACAAAACTTTTTGACCAGGAGGCAAAACGTACCCAAAACTCACCCCCTACTCCACTCCCTCCACGCCGGCTCGTCATCAACCAGCCAACTACCTTTCCCAGCCTGCCTGCTCCTGATTGGTGACTCGCCGACTGCACACCTGCACACTGCACCTCAGCGCCCTCTACCTGAGTCGATGTCTGGACTTGATCCAGCCATTGAAGTCAGAATATCCTTGTGCTCTCAAGCAGTGAACAACTAACTGATATATGCTGTATCAGGTGGATGTCTCGCAGCTAGCGCCATATTCTCAGCACCTGATTATTTTTCACCTTTAACTTTATTATTATTGTAGAGTAACTTCATCCCTATTATTCATTTATGTTATATTGTTTTTGACTTGTTCTTTTGCACTGTACATTGCCAAGGGATTGTCTTTGTTTATATTTTGTTTTCTATATTAATTAAAGTTTCATTGTTCATACTTTGTGCTTTGCGTGTCTTCCCTTACTTTACCACAGACAAACAGGCAAGCAGTCAATTTTTTTTTTTTTGTAAGTGACTAGGCATTGACACCTGCCATTGGAGGACTGCCGAACATCTACACTCCAACACTTTCCCGTCACAATATATATAAGCTCCCTCCCTCTCTTTCATTCCGGCTCAAAATACATTTCTTCTAATTCTACCCTCCCTCTCTCTCTCTCTCTCTCTCTCTCTCTCTCTCTCTCTCTCTCTCT